TATATACAGAAATGATCTAATGAGCACCGGTGCTCATCTTATCCTAAACACCAATGAGTTGGCACATTAATTCATTGGTGGATTGGAACTCACAAAATCTTTATCCACCAATGAATTAATGTGCCAACTCATCGGTGCTTAGGATAAGATGAGCACCGGTGCTCATTAGATCATTTCTGTATATATATATATATAAAAGCAATAAAAGCCAGTCATGTCCACTCCCACTAATAGCTGGAGGCACGCACACAAATTATTAGTACTCATAGTTGAACGTGCGTTGCGCGTTATTCTAAAATATTTTATAAGTACTATAAAAATAATATTTGAAGATGTGAGAATATAAAAAATATTTATGTGGAATGAAGTTTTGATTCAAAAGAAATAAAAACCAATTTATGAAAACAATTTAAATAGTTTAGAAAGTCAACTAGATTAGTTCTTCCATTTACTCTTTTAGTCTAAACTGAATATCCAACGAATACCATCATTTTTTCATATTCTCTTAATAAGTTAATGTGCATTGAACATATTAATTGTAATTATTTATTATAGGTACGCATTATGTCCCACCATTTACCTTCTCCTTATCTTAACATTTATTAAATAAATCATAGGAAGAAAACTTTAAAAATATTCATTTTTTGTTCAAATTTTTTTAACGAATTTAATTTACTATCCAATCAAGTAGAATGAATCTGTCAAATGTACATTGATCATAATGGCGTGTTTGGTAGAGATTAAAATCGAATTAAAATTGAAAAACTAGTCGATATTGTTGACTTTATTAGACGAGTGTGACCGAATAATGACTATATTTTCAATTTTAATTGAATTTTAAGTTTAGCCAAACATGCTCTAAATAACTCATAAAAAAATCACGATAATATTGTTCAAATGATTAAATAAATCAAATACATATTGAAAAATGAAAAGGTAATGAATCTATTAAAAATGCTTAAATAAATTAAATACGTATTGAAAAATAAAAAGTAAGGTAATTAATGTGTCAAACGTACATTTATTATAACTAAATAGTTGACAAAATAATTAAAGATAATATTGTTCGAATAGTTCAAATGATTAATAAATTAAATGCATATTGAAAAACAAACAGTATGATAATTGAATTATAATAATAATAGAATCGTCCAAAAAAATAAATTTTACTTGATGTGATATAATATATTATGGATATAGATATACTAAAAAGAGATGCAAATACTAATAGGTGTTGTAGTAAAATGAATTAGATGTAACTTTAATGAATTCAAGAAATGTTAAGTAGTTATGTTCCAACTACTCTCCAAACAATTATTTATTGCATATTATTTAATGAAATTTGACCAA